GAGATGGTATCTCATTGTAGTTTTGATTTGCATTTCTGTAATGGCTAATGATCATGAGCATTTTCTCACGTGTCTGTTAGCCGCGTGAATGTTTTTTTTGGCGAAGTGCCCGTCATATCCTTTGCCCTACATCGTGTTTTTTAAGCTGTGGATCATGACCCATTAGTGTATTATGAAATCACTTTAGTGGTTGAAATACCTCTGAGTTTATGGTTCAAAGATTCACATGTCTGAGTTTACAGCTCAGAGATTCATATGTTTAATCAGTGTTTTTCAAACTGTTGATCACAACTCATTAATGGATTGTGAAATTAAGCTTGTGGATTATAACTGTAATTTAAAAAAATGAAATAGAAATTAAAAAGAAAATGGCAGAGTGGTTCTCATGGAGTAAAGTACAGTTTCTGTGAAACTTTTATTTTAGTAATATATGTTTGTGTGTGTATGTGTACTGGGTCATAATTTAATATATATTTCTTAGTGTGGATTGCAGGCAATAATTCGAAGGCCACTAATTATGGTATTAGCCTCATCTACTGGTTGTTGGTATTAGGCACCGTTGAGTTGGTTCTGACTCATGGTGACCCTATGTACAACAGAACAAAACACTGCCTAGTCCTGCGCCAACCTCACAGTCATTGTTATGCTTGAGCCCATTGTTGCAGCCACTGTGTCAGTCCATCTCATTGAGGGTCTTCTTCTTTTTCGCTGACCTTCTACTTTACTAAGCATGATGTCCTTCTCCAGAGACTGATCCCTACTGAAAACATGTCCAAACTGTGTGAGACGAACTCTTGCCATCCTTGCTTCTAAGGAGCATTCTGACAGTACTTCTTCCAAGACAGAGTTGTTTGTTCTTCTGGCAGTCCATGGTATATTCAGTATTCTTTGCCAACACCGTAATTCAAAGGCGTCAGTTCTTCTTCGGTCTTCCTTATTCATTGTCCACCTTTCCCATGCATGTGAGGCAATTGAAATTCCGTGGCTTGGGTTGGGCACACCTTAGTCCTTAAAGTGACATCTATACTTTTTAACACTTTAAAGAGGTCTTCTGCAGCCGGTTTGCCCAATGCAATACGTCATTTGATTTCTTGACTGCTGTGTTCGTGGATGTTGATTGTGGATCTAAGTAAAATGAAATCCTTGACAATGTCAGTCTTTTGTCTGTCATGATGTTGCTTATTGGTCCAGTTGTGATGATTTTTGTTTTCTTTATGTTGAGGTATAATCCGTACTGAAGGCTGTAATCTTTGATCTTCATCAGTAAATGCTTCAAGTCCTTTTTGGTTTCAGCAAGCAAGCTTGTGTCATCTGAATATCGCAGGTTGTTATGAGTCTTCCTCCAGTCCTGATCCCGCATTCTTCTTCATATAGTCAAGCTTCTCAGATTATTTGCTCAGCATACAGATTGAATAAGTATGGTGAAAGGATACAACCCTGACACACACCTTTCCTCACTTTAAACCATGCGGTATCCCCTTGTTCTGTTGGAACGACTGCCTCTTTGTCTATGTACAGGTTCCTCATGAGCACAATTAAGTGTTCTGGAATTCCTGTTCTACACAATGTTATCCATAATTTGTTATGATCCACACAAGCAAATGTCTTCGCATAGTCAATAAAACACAGGTAAACATCTTTCTGGTATTCTTTGCTTTCAGCCAAGATCCACCTGACATCAGCAGTGATATCCCTCGTTCTACGTCCTCTTCTGAATCCAGCTTGAATTTCTGGCAGTTCCCTGCCATGATGTACTGCTGCAACCACTTTTGAATAATCTTCAGCAAAATTTTACTTGTGTCTGATATTAATGATATTGTTTGATAATTTCTGCATTCTGTGGGATCACTTTTCTTTGGAATGGGCACAGATATGAACCTCCTCCAGTTGGTTGGCCAGGTAGCTGTCTTCCAAATTTCTTAGCATAGACAAGTGAGCACCTCCAGCACTGCATCTGTTTGTTGAAACATCTCAATTGGTATTCCGTCAGTTCCTGAAGCTTTGTCTTTCAACAGTGCCTCCAGTGCAGCTTGAACTTCTTTCTTCAGTACTGTGGATTCTTGATCATGTGCTACCCCCTGAAATGGCTGAACGTCAGCCAGCTCTTTTTGGTACAGTGACTCTCTGTATTCCTTCCATTTTCTTTTGATGCTTCCTGTATCATTCAGTATTTTCCCTGAAGAATCTTTCACTGTTGCAGCTCGAGGGTTAAATTTTTTCTTCAGGTCTTTCAGCTTGAGAAATGCTGAGTGTGCTCTTCCCTTTGGGTTCTCTAACTCCAGGTCTTTGCACATTTCATTATATAATACTTTGTCTTCTCGAGCCGCCCTTTGAAATCTTCTGTTCATCTCTTTTACTTTGTCATTTCTTCTGTTTGCTTTAGCTGTGCTGTGTTCAAGAGAAAATTTCAGAGTCTCTTCTGACATCCATTTTGGTCTTTTCTTTCTTTCTTTCCTGTCTTTTTAATGACCTGTTACTTTCTTCATTTATGATATCCTTGATGTCATTCCACAACTTGTCTCGTTTTTGGTGATTAGTGTTCAGTGGGTCAGATCTATTCTTGAGATGGTATTTTGGCTCTTGTGGACTTGCTGTAATTTTCTTCAGCTTCAACTTGAACTAGCATATGAATAATTGATGGTCTGTTCTGCAGTCAGCCCTTGGCCTTGTTCTGACTGATGATATTGAGCTTCTCCATTGTCTCTTCCCACAGATATAGTCCATTTGATTCCTGTGTATTCCATCTCTCAAGGTCCGTGTGTATAGGTGCTTTTTATATTGTTGGAAAAGGGTATTTGCAATGAAGAAGTTGTTGGTCTTGCAAGATTCTATCATGCGATCTCCAGCGTAGTTTCTGTCACCAAAGAGTATTTTCTAAATACTTATCCTTCTTCTTTGTTTCCAGCTTTCACATTCCGATCACCAGTAATTATCAATGCATCTTGATTGCAAGTTTGATCAATTTCAGACTGCAGAAGTTGGTAAAAATCTTCACTTATTTCTCATCTTTGGCCTTAGAGGTTGGTGGGTATTTTTGAATAGTGGTTGTATTAACTGGTCTTCCTTGTAGGCATATGGATATTATCCTATCACTGACAACGTTGAACTTCAGGACAGATCTTGAAATGTTCTTTCTGACGATGAATGTGATACCATTCTCTTCAGTTTGTCCCTGACATAGTAAACTATATGATTTTCTGATTCAGAATGACCAGTTGCAGTCCATTTCAGGTCACTAATACCTAGGATATCAATTGTTACGCATTCCATTTCATTTTTGATGACTTCCAGTTTTCCTAGGTTCATACGGCATACATTACACGTTCCTATTATTAATGGATGTTTGCAGCTATTTATTCTCATTTTGAATCATGTCACATCAACAGATGAAGGTCCTGAAAGCTTGACTCCATCCACGTCATTAACGTCGACTCTACTTTGAGGAAGGAGCTCTTCCCCAGTCATATTTTGAGTGCCTTCTAACCTGAGGGGCTCATCTTCCAGCACTGTATCAAACAATGTTCCACTGCTATTCAGAAGGTTTTGACTGGCCAGTTTCTCAGAAGTAGACTGCTAGGTCCTTCTTCCTAGTCTGTGTTAGTCTGGAACCTCCTCTGAAACCTGTGCACCATGGGTGACCCTGCTGGTATTTGAAATACCAGTGGCATAGCTTCCAACATCACAACACCACACGAGCACCACAGTAGGAGAAACTGACAGACGAGTGGTGGCATCTACTGGTACTTAATGATATTGCCACTGAAGGATTTTTAAAAGGAAGTAGTTGCCTTTGTTTGTTGTTATGCTCTATGCCTTTGTATGGACTTCTCCTTTGTGATTTGAAAAGTATATTGGTTTTTATTTTTTAAATAATATTTATCATTAACACATGTCTAGATTCTTTCTGATCAATACCAGATGCAGGATGTGTTGGAAAGATCTGATCATTTGATGGCTGCAGCAAAAGACCTGTTTGTTGATTTTCCTCGTAGGCGCACAGGTAAATGATCCATTTCATACAAAAGCTTCTTTTTCTTATTATCTGTAGCCTGCAACTGACTGTTCAAAATTTAAAATCCTTTCTTAGGCATTTATTATTTATATTACAAGTATTCTAGGGTTGATAGTGTATATGTTTGTTATGCTTGGATTTATTATAATTTGCTTTCAGTAAGAATATAACTATTACTAGTTACTCTGATAAGGAAAGGTAAATTGTTATTATTTACTAAATATGTTACAATATAATGTACAGCATTTCATAATTATAAAATATGACTTATTTTTCAGTTTATTAACCATAAATTACCATATAATTAAAATATTTATATATAATTTGAGTAAAGCTTAGTTTGAAACCTAAAGCACCAGCAATCTCTCTTGAAAAGGAACTTCGTCTCTTGTTAGATACACAGAATTATTTATTTTAGTGTGCATATGTTACATTGTATAGCTTAGTCCAGCAAGCTGATCATTAGTTTTTAATGTTTGAATCCTGGCTTGGTCACTTATTAGTGCAGCTGGGCCACCTGCTTAATGTCTCTGAGTTTCATTTTACTCTATGTGAAATGAAGGTGATAACAGTACCTACCTCATAGCATTTTGTGAGGATAAAATGAGTTAATGTATAGAAAGCATTTGCAACAGTGCCTAGCATGTCGTAAGACTGTATCACTGTGAGCTACATTATTGTTTAAGATTTCCTTGTGGTAATGCAAACCTATGGCAGTGCATAGCACTTGTGAAGGCAGTTTAATTAAATGAAACAAAATCATTATGGCTTATTTTCCTTCCGCAGGGTTTCCGAACGTAACAATGGCTCCTGATTCCTCTCAGAGTCCCATCGTGGTAAACGAAGACCCTGTCACCCAGTCCATTCTGAGTGAATCTGTCATTGACCCTCAGGTAATGTGCTCTGTTCGCAGCCACAGTACTCAAGCGAAAATTTAAGTTGATGTAGGCATTATGGTAAAATTTTTAAAAACTTAAATATCAAGGAAGGCAAAGTTGTGGTTGCTAGAATTGCTCCTACTCAAATGTATTGCACTTTTTATGAGTAACGTTTGTATTAAGATAGGAGAGAGTAAAAGTAGCTAACATCCACTGAGTGCTTACCTAGGAGGTAGGTACTATTGCATCTCCATTTAACAGATGAAGAAACGCAGAAAAGACTCAGAAAAATTAAGATCTCATAGCCAGTTAGTGTCAGAGATGAGACTGAACGCTGGCCGTTGGCTCCACAGGACTGTGCCACCATCTGCTGTTACGGAGACAGCAGGGAGCTTTTCCACTCCCCACTTTGAAGTCCAGTGAATCTGTGTTCCTGCTCTGCTACTTACTAGCTGTTTGATCTTAAGATATCTGAGTTGGCTCAGAGTAGTTTTTTGTTGCCCTTAAATGGGAATAGAGTATACCTGATATAGTTTTTGCAAGAATCAGCTTGTTTCCTGCTTTGCCGTGATAAATAGTGTAACAAATATCCTTGAATATGCTTTTTCTTTAAATGTTAGTTCCTTCTAATCTATTAGTATATTTAAAGAGTAGCTGCCCAGAGAAACTTGGAATTTATTGAGTGGTTACATGGGAAAATCATATTACAGTAGTAAAACATCAATTAGCTGTATCCTATTCAAATTGCTGTTGGGTGCTGTCGAGTCGGTTCTGACTCATAGTGACCCCATGTCACAGAAGAGAGCTGCCAAATAGGGTTTTCTCGGCTGTAATCTTTACAGAAGCAGATTGCCAGGTCTTTCTCCTGCAGAGCTGCTGGGCGAGTTCAAACTGCCCATCTTTTGGTTAGTAGCTGAACGCTTAACTGTTGTGCCACCAGGGCTTCTTGGAACTCTAATCAAAATGTCTAGAATTTTGAGGTATTAAACATTTTTTAAGAGCCTATTAAGAATTTGATACTGAAAGAGTACTATTAAGATACTATTAGGGAATGACCAGAACTTGTTGTTATTGTTGTTGTGTGCTGTTGAGTCAATTCAGACTCATAGCGACCCTTAGGGCAGAGCAGAACTGCCCCATAGGGCTTCCTAGGCTACAGTCTCAATGGGAGCAGACTGCTACATCTTTCTCCCGTGGAGTGGCTGGTGGGTTTGAACTGCTAACCTTTCGGTTAGTAGCTGAGTACTTAACAACATGTCTTTGATGATTTGGATCTTGTAATTCCCCAGGATCATCACTCTAATTGATGATTCTCCTTTTTTCTATAGATCTAAAAAAATCTGGGAAATTGCACTTAACGGGTACTGAGTTCTAGAGACTAGGAAATTGCACTTAACATGTACTGAGCTGTAGTCACTGTACTTTACTCACCAAGACAATTAAATAGAATGTTCCTTGTATTTTAGATAACCAAAACCCATTAGTCATAACCATAGCCAATACCACTTATGTTTTTGAACTTTTTGAAAAGTTAGCTTTCAGATAATCAGAAATTTAATTGATTTAGAATACCTTATTGCTATAGTATGTCTAACTGAAGATTTCTATTTATTTAAATAGATTGTATAGCATAGTGCCCTATGTTTTTGTCAGTCAGACTTCAAGTCAGACTTTCAGTCACCTAAATCATGGAAACAAGTTGTGCAGACCAGTCCAAGGAGACTAAAGCCCACTCACTTCCGGCACAAAATGGTATAGTGGATAACAAATCCCACTCCACACTTCACCCGCATCCTGTAGAAATCTCAGCTTCCCTTCTCTGTTTAGTTCAGACCCCAGCTGCCCATGCAGCCCTTCTGTCTCTTATCCCTAGCCACCCAGGCTAGGTCAGTGGCTACTGGCCGCAAGCCTGGGAGTCCATATGATTCCCTCCACTTTAGACTAACAGGCTACCTGCCACTTTGGGTCTGATAATTTGCTGGAATGACTCACAGAGCTCACAGGAGACACCATACCTGTGGTAATAGCTTTAATATAACAAAAAGGATATAAATGAAGAGATGCATGGTAAGGTCTGGGAGGAGTCACAGCATGGAGCTTCCATGTCCCAAAGAGGGATGCACTACCCTCTACCCTCTCCTGTTCGTGGTGACCAATCAGGAAGCTTTTTGAGCCTCCATCTTCCAAGGCCTTCATTAACCTCAGCATGTGGCCATGATAGATTACATCACGCTTCCTAAGGCTTAGTTAGCATCGGGCCCCAGGTGGTGTCTCTTGGGATGATCATTAGCTTCAGGTGATGGTCCGGCTCTCAGGAACCAAGACCAAAGGCCAAATGACTTTCTGCAAGGTAGTTTCACACCTTGCATGAGTACAAAATGTGTTCCAGCAGCATGGAATAAATTAGTCATATTTTATCCTGTAGAAGAGAAGAGTCTATCCCTAGACCTGAGCCTGTTATGTTAATAGTAATTTCAGATTAATGTTACTATATAACTAATTTGCCTAGCTGGTTTCAGTGCTATCTCAATTTACAGATTAAACACAATGAGGTGAACTTCCCAAAACAAACTTGCAGATAGCCAAGAGAAAGGACAGAGAGGGAGGGGAGAGGAGACACCTTAGTAGATAAGCAGAGAACATCAGAAAAGAAATTAATGTTGTTCTAGATAACCTTGAGTCACCAAAAAATGATGAAGTTGTAGCTGTATTACTTATGTTCCCTGGGCCCTAGTTTCTTCATCTGTAATAGGAATGAATGAAACTCAGTTTATTCACTTACTCATTATATATTTGTATACTACCTGTAATATTTCCGGCCCTGCAGTGGATGCTGGGATATATGGATAAAGGCATCATCTCTATTATGGGGTGGAAAGTGATGAGATCTGAAGTTACAGAGACAGGCAGGAGCTAGGTCATGAAGGGCTAACGAACATGAAAGCAGGAATGGAGCCAGTAAAGGATTTAAAGATGAGCAGAGTCATGATGAGATCGATTGTAGTACAGAAAATGGATTGGGGAGGGACAAGTCTAGAGGGAGGGTTTGGTTAGAAGACTTAGGTAGCGATCTTAGTTAGAAGTAGTGAGAGTCTGACCCCGAGCAGTGGAAGTAGGGAAGGACGTAGAGGGGAAGAGTCATAGATTTGGGAGAGATAAAGAAGAGAGAGAATTGACAGAATTGGGTGACTGATTGGATATGAGGGATGGGAAAGAAGGATGACTCCAAGTTTGCTGGTTTGAGCATCTGAGTAGATGGTGATGCTGTTCATGGCCTTAGGTAATATCAGTAGGAACAAGGTTTCTGGAAGAATGGTGGGAGGAGCTTAAGAAATAATCAATTTTGGGCATGTTCAGTATATGTGGGATGTTCCACTAGTGCTGTCTCTTAGGCAGCTGGATATAAATGACTAGGGCTCAAGAGAGATCTGGGTGGAGGTAGAGATTTGGAAATTAACAGCATTTGACTGGTAATTGTAGCTTTGGAATTAGATAAAATCACTCAGAAAGTGGGTAAGATGAGAGGAGAATAGGTCCAAAGAGAAAACCTTGAGTCATACCAGATATAAGGAAAGGGTAGAAAAAGAAGAATCAATTAAGGGGACTGGGAAGGAAAGGCCAGAAGGATAGAAGAAAAAACAAGAAAATATGATGTCATGGAAGTTAAAGGAAAAGTGCATCAAGAAGACTTTAAAGGAAAGGAATGAGTGGTCATTAATATCTGATGAGTTAGATAAATCAGGAAAGGTAAAGACTAAGAAATATCTATTTGATTTAGAAATAAGTGTGTAATGTTGACCTTACAGAAAACAGTTTAGAGTGGTAGAATAGAAGCCAAGTTGAAGGGCAGAGATGGTAAATGAGAAGTGGGGACAACTCTTGCAAGAAGAGAAAAGTTAGATGGTAACTTGAGGGGGTATAGGGCCAGGTCAAGATGGGAGAGGCTTGCCCACATTTACATGTTGATGAGATGAAGCCAGTACAGTGAGAGAGTTGAAGATACAGGAGAGAAAAGGGACAATTGATGGAGTGAAAGGCAGTGAGGGAGTTTGGGTTCCAAAACACATGTGGAGGAATTAGCCTTAAGAGGAGGGCCTCTCTTCTTTTATGACGAAAAGAAAGGATGAGTGCAAATGTAACCACCTTGTGTTGTTATTTTTATTATTGTTGACATAGGCTCTTAATGAAGTAGATGATGAACAAAGAGGAGGAACTGTGAATAGCCAGTCAGAAGAGAGTGAGAATGAGTTGGATAGCACCCTAAACTCTGAGTCTAACAAGAATACAGATAGGTATGTATATATGGGATGAATATCTACAAATCTTCCCTTTTTTCCAAAGTCATTATAAGTGTTTGTTTGTCACATCATCCTTGAGAGTATGTTTTTAAACTTTCTATTCTTGATATCATGTCAAACTTACCAAAAAGTTGAATCGTACAAAGAATAGTACAAAGAACTCTTGTATACTTGTCACCTAAATTCACCAGTTGCTAAGATTTTCGCACAATTGCATTATCATTCTGTCTCTTTCTCTATGTGTTTTTATACACACACACTCTTTTTTTAAATTGTACTTTAGATGAAGGTTTACAGAGGAAATTAGTTTCTCATTAAACAATGAAGACACATATTGTTTTGTGACATCGGTTGCCAACCCCATGACATGTTAACACTCTCCCCTTCTCAACCTTGGGTTCCCCGTTACCAGCTTTCCTGTACCCTCCTGCCTTCTTGTCCTTGCCCCTGGGCTGGTGTGCCCATTTAGTCTTGTTTTGTTTTATGGGCCTATGTAATCTTTGGCTGAAGGGTGAACCTCAGGAGTGACTTCAGTACTGAGTTAAAAGGGTGTCCAGAGGCCATATTATTGGGTTTCTCCAGTGTCTGTCAGACCAGTAAGTCTAGTCTTTTTTTTTTTTTCAGTACACATATTGTTGTATGGCATTGGTTACCAACCCCATGACATGTCAACACTCCCTTCTTGAGATTGAGTTCCCATTACCAGCTTTCTTTTCCCCTCCTACCTTCTAATCCTTGTCCCTGGGCTAGCGTGCCCCTTTAGTCTCGTTTTGTTTTATGGGCCTGTCTAATCTTTGGCTGAACGGTGAACCTTGGGTGTGACTTCATTACTGAGCTAAAAGGGTGTCTGGGGACCATAGTCTCGGGGTTTCTCCAGTCTCTGTTAGGCCAGTGAGTCTGGTCTTTTTTTTGTGAGTTAGAATTTTGTTCTGCATTTTTCTCCAGTTCTGTCCGGGACTGTCTGTTGTGACCCCTGTCAGAGCAATCAGTGGTGGGGTAGCTGGGCACCATCTATTTGTGCTGGACTGAGTCTGGTGGAGGCCTTAGTAGTTGTGGTCCGTTAGTCCTTTGGACTAATCTTTCCCTTGTATCTTGTTTTCTTCATTATCCCTTGCTCCCGAAGGGGTGAGACCAGTGGAGTATCTTGGATGGTTGCTCACAGGCTTTTAAGACTCCAGACGCTACTCACCAAGGTAGAATGTAGAACATTTTCTTTATAAACTGTGTTATGCTAATTGAGCCATGGCCCCCACGGCCCTCTGCCCAGGAATTCAGTCCCTTAGGGAGTTTGAGTGTGTCTGTGGAACTTCCATGACCTTCCTTGTACAAGTTGTGCTGGCTTCCCCAGTGTTACGTATTATCTTACCCTTCACCAAAGTTACCACTTATCTATTGCCTATTTAGTGTTTTTCTGTTCCTCCTCCCTTGTAACCATCAAAGATTGTTTCTTTTTGTGTGTAAACCTTTTCATGAGTTTTTATAGTAGTGGTCTCATACAATATTTGTCATTTTGTGGTTGACTTATTTCACTCAGCATAATGCCCTCCAGATTCATCCAATGTTGTGAAATGCTTTGCAGATTCATCATTGTTCTTTATTGTTGCATAGTACTCCATTGTGTGTATGTACAATAGTTTGTTTATCCATTCATCTGTTGATGGGCATCTAGGTTGTTTCCATATTTTTGCTATTGTGAACAATGCTGCAGTGAATATGGGTGTGCATATGTCTATTTGTGTGATGGCTGTTATCTCTCTAAGATATATTCCAGGGAGCGGGATTGCTGGATCTATTTCTAGCTTTTTAAGGAAGCACCATATCGTTTTCCAAAATGATTATACCATTTTGCATTCCCACCAGCAGTGCATAAGAGTTCCAGTCTCCCTAGCCTCTCCAATATTTGTTATTTTCTGTTTTTTTGATTTGTGCCAGTAATGCCGGGGTGAGATGGTACCTCATTGTAGTTTTGATTTGCATTTCTCTAATTGCTAATGACTGCGAGCATTTCCTCATGTGTCCGTTAGCCACTTGAGTGTCTTCTTTGGTGAAGTGTCTGTTCATTTCCTTTGCCCATTTTTTAATTGGATTACTTATCTTTTTGTTGTAGAGGTGTTGGATTTTCCTATAGATTTTAGAGATTAGACCTTTGTCAGATTTGCCATAGTCAAAAATTTTTTCCCAGTCTGTTATGTTCTCTTTTTATTCTTTTGAAGTCTTTTGTTGAGCATAAGTGTTTAATTTTTAGAAGATCCCAGTTAGCTAGCTTATCTTCTGGAGTTCGTGTGTTGTTAGTTATGGTTTGTATCCTGTTAATGCTGTGTATTAGGGCCTCTAGTGTTGATCCTGTTTTTTCTTCTATGAACTTTATTGTTTTTGGTTTTATATTTAGGTCTTTGTTCTATTTTTAATTAGTTTTTGTCTATGGTGTGAGGTATGGATCCTGTTTCATTTTTTTGCAGATGGATATCCCGTTTTGCCAGCACCATTTATTAAAAAGACTGTTTTTGCCCCAGTTGATGAACTTTGGGCCCTTGTCAAAAATCAGGTGACCACACATGGATGAATTTACATCCGGATTCTTAATTCTGTTGCGTTGGTCAATGGATCTGTCTTTGTACCAGTCCAGGCTATTTTGACTACCATAGCTGTATAGTAGGTTCTGAGGTCAGGTGGTGCAAGTCCTCCTGCATTCTTCTTCTTCAGTAGTGCTTTACTTATCTGGGGCCTCTTACCTTTCCACATAAAGTTGATGATTAGCTTTTCCATCTCTTTAAAGAATGTTGTTGGTATTTGGACGGGGATTGCATTGTATTTGTAGATTGCTTTGGGTAGAATTGTCATTTTCAGAATGTTGAGTCTACCTATCCATGAGCATGGTATGTTTCTATGTTTAGTGTCATATCATCTGCAAATAGGGACAGTTTAACTTCTTCATTACCAATTTGGATGCCGTTTTTTTCTTTTTCTTGCTTTATTGCTCTAGCTAGAATTTCCAGTACAGATGTTAAATATCTGTGGTGATAAAGGGCATCCTTGTCTGGTTCCTGTTCTCAAGGTTAATGTTTTCAGCCTCTCTCCATTAAGAATGTTGTTGGCTGTTGGTTTTGTATAGATGCCCTTCATTATGTTGAGGGATTTCCCTTCTATACCTATTTTATTGAGAGTTTTTATCAGGAATGGAAGTTGTAATTCGTGGAATGCCTTTTCTGCATTGAGATGATCATGTGATTCTTTTCTTATTTATGTGGTGGATCACATTGATTGATTTTCTAATATTGAACTGCCCTTGCATACCTGGTATGAATCCTATTTGGTCGTGGTGTCTTATTTTTTTGATATGATGCTGAATTCTATTGGCTAGAATTTT